CTGCCACTGCTGCCGCTTGCTCTTCTCGCGCGCGCTCTTCACAGTGCTGTTGGTGAAGATGGTGGGCTCCAGCTTCGCGGCCACAATCTCGCCCAGCAGCGGCACTGCCTGCTGCCACTGCCGACGCCTGCTCATCTCGCACGCGCTGTTCACAATGCTGTACGTGATGATGTTGGGCTCCAGCTTCACGGCCAGGGTCTCGCCCATCAGCGCCACGGCCAGCTGTCACTGCCCAGGCCCGCCCTTCTCGCACAAGCTGCTCAGGATGACGTGGGTGATGATGTTGGGCGCCAGCTTCACGATCAGCGGCCGCCGCCAGCGGCCCGCTAGAGGCGGCCGCGGCGGCGGCGGAGGCAGCGTCGGCCGCGGCGGGCGCAGCGGCGGGCGCGGCGGCACCCGCGGCCGCCGCGGCCGGCCCCAGCGCAGCAGCGCGCGCCACAGCGCTGGCGGCCGCGGCGGCCTCGCCGCGGCCGGCTGCCGCGACGGCCGCGGCCGCCGCGGCGGCGGCGGCGGCCGCGGCGGCAGCGCCGCCGGCCACGCCGAGGCCGACATGGGCCACGCAGGGCCGCGGCGGCGGCAGGCCGGCCGGGCCGGCCGCGGCGGCGGCGCAGCCGGCGGCGGCTCGCCGCTGCCGCCGCTCCGCGCCGAGCGCGACTCCATGGCCGAGCGAAGCGGGGGCGCGGAGGGGGGCGACCCCCTCGCACGCCCCCGCGGGCGGGGATGCCGAGGACCGAGGGGCGGAGGCCGGGCCAGCCGCTGAGGCCCGCTTGAGCCAGAGCGGCTTGAGCCAGGGCTTGAGCCAAAGGGCTTGAGCCAGAGGCTACGGAATGGTGGGGATACGCGAAACGTCAAGAATTTCGACCAAAATTTCGACGAGGATCCAGCCGTGGCGACGAGAGTACTCCAAGGCACGAAGCCGAAACCGAAAGGCCCAACAGCACGTCTCGACTGCATTCGCACAACAATACACTGAAATCGTGGAGCCTACCGTGGAGGTGGCCGTAGAAGTCGCCCAGCACGAGATCGTATTGGTCGTGGCCGTGCTGCCCGAGGTCGCATTGTTGGTCGTCTGAACACCGTTCGGCACCGAAACTTGGGAAGTCCAGGTGGTGGTATTCCAAAAGGAGTACCTATGACATGCATTGTATGGCTTGTGCGCCTTGGCCGGAAACAGATACATCATCATCGTCCTCCTACGCCTCCTCCTCCTCCTCCTCTTTCCGCCATCCCAGCGCGCATTTGGCGCGTCCAGGCCACTTGCGCACGCGTTTGGCGTGTCATCGTCTGTTCATCATCTTCCTCCTTCTTCCTTCAGATCGCTCAGCGCGCAGCTCCCGACTCCACTCTGAACCACGAGCCCGACGAGCGCATTGGAAACCAATGGCACGACGATTCACAATAATGCTCACGTACTAAATTTGTGCATAGCTTGGACATGGAGTGATTCTTATTCCGATTTTCGGATATCAGGTCTTCTTCAAATGTGATGGGGAAGTGTTGTCAAGTATATGCGTAATACAACTGGTACACTTATGTTTGGCGTTTGGTCTCCAACAGCTGTTGTTTTGCATGAAGAATGGAAAAGTTCCACACAATATTATCATTCCAATATGCTTTGCCGTATAGACCTTCTCCAAAAGCAGGTGTTCAGATCGGAGAGGGTGTCAACCCAGGGTCTCCGGGACTCGACTTGACATTGCAACTCTTGTGGTCAGGACCGGCACACGAAAGCCGGATGACTGCAGAAAAAGATCTGCCAACACGACCGCCTGAATCGCGACCGACAACCACGCGAAGACGAGAACCTCTACGATAACAAGCTCCCGACATACCACAATTCGGCACCAACTGGTCCGCCTCCCAATCTCCCAAACGTAACCCTTATCCATTCGTTCACCCTATCCCAATCTTAACCCTGTCTGCTCTTGGTCCAAAGCCGCTCTTGCCGGGCAGAGCACAGTGTGACCCGCCACCCCATCGGCCTCCCCCCAGGCTTCGCCAACCCCCACCCCCCGTCTTTCGTGGTCTCACCGCACTCCGCCCTTCCACCCACGAGCCCTCAATCGACAGGGCCTTGCATTTGTTGCGCCTAGGGCTTGTGGAGGGCATCCCCTACAGCCGCCCACAATATGAGAACATAGAACGCAAACCACCAGTGCCGCTCCACAGTTGCCATGATCATGTCATCTGTCGCCCCATCGAGCCACCACTGTTCTCCATTGGATTGAAGACTCCACATGGTGGACGGATGGAATCGAAATCCAATTCTGCGTGATCCGTTTCCGCACCGTCGTCACCATCTATGTGGGTTTCGGCCGCCGGATGGTCTCCAGTTTGTTGTAGACCCAAGCGGTGGTGGAACAGGCGGAGGTGGAGGAGCGTCATGACGTCGTTCCGGAGTCGGGAGGTCTTCGTCGCTATCTTCGTTGAGTTCGCTCATGGCTCCGCGGTCACAGGCCAGCATGTCCGCGGGTTGCGCTGCCCCCCGCATCTTGAGAGCCCAAGGGGGTGCGGGTGCCTGCTACTGGAGTCGGTGGGCAGGGTATTGGGGCGGCGGGGAGTGGAGTTGATGTTGGCCTCGGAGTCCTGTCGCGAACGTTTGCTGCAGCTGGATCGGGATCCCCGTCGTGGGATCATCATTGTATACCTTTGGTGGAGTGGCTCGAACAAATTGTGATTATATTCTGTGTCATGTTTCCGACTTTCCACACATTGGTGTCCGATACGTTGATGAGGGGATCTTTCGGCGGCATGCGACGCGGCATGAGAGCACCAGGCATTGTCGACCCGAACGCTTTATATTAGCTACTTAGCTCCAGGCGCACAGTGTTACAGGGAGGCAACATAAAGCGAACGCATATTTCCCCCGAGAGTTGTAGGAAACACTCGTGGACGATATTGCTGGGGCCTCCCGCGTGATGTTGTAGTACCCCGCGTGGTGTCGGACTCTCTCGGGGCCTGCAGCGTGGGGGTGTCTCTGGGCCCTGACACCACGCGAACCTTCCCGGGAGACCCTGGCACAATGTGGGAGGCGCCGACACCACGCGGTTCTTGACGCCACGCGGGAAACCCCAACACCACGCGGGGCCCCGACACCACGTGAAAATGAGGGGTTCGCGTGGTGTCGGAGCTTCGGGGCGGGGACGATATCGCGACAAGAATCCAAGGGTGTCTCCCTTTTCGTTCAACCTCCGGGGTGGGCATGCTCCCCGGGATGAGGCTGTGCGTGGGCGGGCTGCAGCCTAGGGGCGTCACGGATGACGGAGGCGACGGCTGGTCAAGGTCGGGGGCCGCTGGAGCGCCTCGAAGCAGGAGACACTGCACCGACAGAGCCAGACTTGTTGCAGGACTTGGCAGTTGCAGCATGAGCACGGCCGACGCGTGAACGGGACTGCAGAGGTCCTGTCGGGTGTGCTGCACATCAAGGCGGGCGATTTTGCAGCGTAGGCCCTTAAGCCTCTGCCAGAGTCAATCCCGCGGGGAACCATATTCGTGAAGCTGCTGCTGGAGAGGCGCGGCCACACGCCACGCCGAGTCGGGCCCTCTGGCCGCGGTGACCTGCGGGGCCGTGGGCCCGTCGTGTCTGTCTCCGAGCGGGCTGCCTCCCACGCTCGGGTTGTTGGCATCGAGGGTGTTATAGCTGGAGCGGGGGCGGGGTTACGGGATGGGCGACGCAGAACTGGGCGAGGGAGCGGACTGCGACTCGCCCGTCCCCCACCGCCGGGACTGCCCTCACCAAGGCTCAGGAGTCGGGCGGGGAGCTGAGGGCGGGGAGCGCTGCCGCCTCCTGCTGGGCTCCCAGCCCCCGCAGGAGCGCCGCCGCTCCCGCGCACCTGGGCGAGAGGGAGAGGACCGAGGCCAATCAAGTCGCGCGGCGGGAGGTCGACGTGGGAGCGGTGCCGCAGCCGGTGCCGACTCCTAACGCCTTCCCGCGCGAGGACTGCCCTCAGCACGGCCAGGCGAGTGCGACGTCGGGGCATCGGTGGCATAGACGTCTCCGTGGTCTCCTCCTCCTCCTCCTCCTCCTCCTCCTCCTCCTCCTCCTCCGATCCGATCCGACCCGGGGGCGCGCCCACCGGGCGAGCCCCGTGCGCGCCCCGCAGGCACAAGGCGGGCGGCCGCACCTCCTCCGACCTCCTTCCCTCCTTCCCTCCTCCTGCTCCTCCTGCTCCTCCTGCTCCTCCTGCTTCCCTCGGACCTCCTGCTCCTCCTCCTGCTCCTCCTCCTGCTCCTCCTCCTGCTCCTCCTTCTCCCTCCTCTTCGTTCTCCTCCTCCTCCTTCTCCCCCTTCTCCTCCCTCCCTCCTTCCCTCCCTCCCGCTCCCTCCCTCCTTCCCTCCCTCCCTCCCTCCCTCCCTCCCTCCTCCTGCTCCCCCTGCTCTTCCTGTGGAGCGCGCGAGCGCGCCCAACGCCGCCCTCCACTTCCAGCGGATCCTCCTCCCCCCTCCCCAACCTCGCTAAACAGCTGGTCGTAGCTTTCCGCATCCCTGACTGCGCGCCAGAAGGATGCAGGGCAGCTGCTTTTCAGGGCGGGGCCCTCCCCAAAATGGCAGGCTCTGATGGTCTTTCCAGGGGAGCGCTCCTTGCGGTGAAAAGGAAAGCCTGCCAGGACGCATGAGGAGGGGTGGGAGGGAGGGGGCGGGAGCGGGGCAAGGGCGAGGCGGGAGCAGGGGGAGGGAGGGAGAGGGAAGGAGGGCGGGGGAGGGAGGGGAAAAGGAGAGAAGGGGGAGGGGCAGGGGAAGGAGGAAGGGTGTGCTGCAACATTGCTGGTGCATCTTGGGCCCCCTCTGGTCCTGCGCCCTTCCTTGTATTATCCCGGGACACCTCCAGTCCGGGGTACCTCCGGCTTGGGCCCCTGACGCGCGAACCAAGAATTACCCCTCCCCAACCTGTTGATTTGGGAGTGGTTGGACGCCCGAACTATCCGGGATAACTCTGGTCCGGGGCAGCTCTGGTCCGGGCCCCCGAGGCAGAGCTACCCCGGACTCCCAGCTCTGATGATTTGGGACTCTGATCCTCCCTGGGCTGGCGCTCCGTGGGCGCGCGCTCGCTCCGAAAGCACGACTCGGGCTCGGCACGCGCTCGCTCCGAGAGCACGACGCGGGCTCGGCACCGACCGCCGCATCTGGCGCTCGATAGCTGCGCGTGCGGCACAGCGCGCGGCAAGGCGCGCAGCGCGGTGCGCCGAGCACGCGCGCGCAGCGCGCGGCGGCTCAGCCGAAGAGCTTCTCGAGTGCCTCCGCGCTGGGCCGCGGCTGGCCCAGATCTCCCAACGCTTTGGATATGAACTTTGTTTGGAGGGAGAAGATGGGAGCGGACAGCACGATTCAACAGCTGGCGATGCAATGCGACTGCCACCACTGGGGGAAACTGAAGTGGGGAGAACCCCATAGCCCTGCCACACGTTTCATGATGCTGCTGTTACTCGACATACGAAGATCGCAACTTCGATCCGTACTTCCCCCAGCGAGAATGAAGTTCGGACCTGCCGCCCCTCTCCCTCGACCAACTCTGTCTTAGCCGGAGATAATCAACACTCAGATGTTAAAAGGGAGGGATTCTGTATTATCCGGGGCACGGAGTTACTGGTGCGGCCAGAAAGATTGCACTCGAAAGCCGTTTATTTCCTCACCCAGCGTGCGAAGCAATCGGATGTTTTGGATACTGTGAAGAGATTGCTGTCGGTGGGTGAACCCTGGCGCTGTCGCTTCGGCGCTGGCTACGTTTTTGAGAGCAAGGCTCACGCTCCAGCGATTCGGGGAGGCACCGAAACGGGCCCCGAACAGCAGCAACAACAACACTCATGTTAAGACTGGTCGCTCTCATATGCTCGCGTGCCACTCAACATGTATATCCACCCCCCCCGTACCCGCTATCTTCGTATTCAATCGTACCTCCCTTGGGGGTATACCTTCTTTCTGCCACGTGTAGTTGGCGCAGCCCCTAAAACATGGGAAGGGAGGGAGGAGGGAAGGGACAAGTGGGATGGAGAAATATGGAGCACGAAAGAGACTAGCAAGACAAGGGGTTGGGAGCAAGAGAACAAGCGGCAACCAGACGGGCGGGTCGGGCGGGCGGATCCTAACGGGCGGGTCGGGCGGGCGAGCCCAAACGGCCAGGTTGAGCGGGCGGGTCACTGAAGCGTCAGTCCTGCATGAATCGCGAGGAAGTGCCGAAATATATCGCGATTCCCAAGTCAATCGTGAGGAAGTCCAGGCCGAGAGCGCGATTCCTCATTCCTGAGTGTCGAGGGCGCTGCGTTTCAAGAAGTTGCAAGGAAGTCCCACGCGAGAGCGCGATTCATACATACATGTGGGGGAACCCTGTGCGAAAGTGCGATCCTAAATGCACTGAACAACCAAATGGGTACCAGAGGGGGGATCAACCACAACTGATCTCGATACACGATGTTTCAATACTTTAACAACTGTCCGCCCTTGTATTCTCGCGTGCCACTCAGGATATCTATCTCTATATATATATATATATACGTATGTATACAAACATACATACATACATACATACATACATACACACATACATACATACATACATACATACATACATACATACATACATACATACACACATACATACATACATACATACATACATCCTTACATACATACATACATACATACATACATACATGCATACAAACATACATACATACATACATGCATGTATGCACGCATGCATGCATACACACATACATACGTACATATGTACATGTATATATGTATGTATGCATGCATGCATGCATGCATGCATGCATGTCTGTATGTATAAATGTATGTACATATGCATGTATGTACGCATTCATGTCTGTCTGTCTGTCTGTCTGTCTGTATGTATATTTACATACATTTCTATATACTATATATCCCGAGCCCTCTACCCCCCCTCTTCGTCTTCGATCGTGCCCTCCTTGGGGGTATAGCGTCTTTCCCTGCCACGTGTAGTTGGCGCAGCCCCAAAACAGGGGAACGGAGGGAGGAGGGAAGGGACAAGGGGGAGGGAGACAGATGGAGCACGAAAGAGATTAGCAAGACGGGGGTTGGGAGCAGGAAAAAAAACGGCATAACCAAACGGGCGGGTCGGGCGGGCGGATCCTAACAAGCGGGTCGGGCGGGCGGGCCCAAATGGCCAGATTGAGCGGGCGGGTCGCTGAAGCGTGAGTCCTGCATGAACCGCGAAGAGTTCTCGACCGATGCCGCGATTCCCAAGTCAATCGTGAGGAAGTCCAGGCCGAGAGCGTGATTCCTCATTCCTGAGTGTCGAGGGCGCTGCGTTTCAAGAAGTTGCAAGGATGTCCCACGCGAAAGCGCGATTCATGGATGCATATGGGTACGTAGTGAGGAAATCCAGCGCGAAGGGGCGGTTCTGAATACATTGGAAGGACATATCAAGTGGGAGCCGTCGTTGTTGTAGTTCGGGGGCCAGGGGTCCTATCTGAGCCTCGATGCTCTCCTTTGTAAAGGGTGCGAGCCCCAGGAGGGGAATTTCAACTAAAAAATCACAATGAGCACCGGAGGGCGATCAACAACTCCGCACACGTAGGCTTCTCACCTGTTCGGGCTTCCGACCGTCCAAGATGACCCAAGCAAGAGGCCTCCGAGATGTCTCCAAGGCAGCCCATGAAGCTCCCAAAGAGCCCCAAGTCGGCCCGAGAGGACCCCACATCGCCCAACAGGCTGCCAAGAGGGCCCCAAATCGGCCCTAAAGCGCTCCAAGAGGGCACCAAGACGGCCCAGAGAGGCCCCCAAGACGGCCTCCGCAGGTGTCAGACGGGCCAAATCCCCTTGGACGGCCGAGGCAAAGTTCCGCGAACTAGCACGTCGCGCTGGGCGGACACCGGCAGGCCCAAGCCATCCCATGCGATCCTGGCACATTGTTTTACTTTCGAGACTCGAAGTTAGTGAGGTACCCGCACTGTCCCGTTCCTTTACACGCCCATGTAGAAGACTTGGACACGAAAGTCGCCCATGGAGCGAGTGCCCCACCAGCAGCACCAGCCAGAGGAGACACGTATCAGCCGACGCGCCGCTGACATGAAGGAGCCAGGGTGTCGACGAAGGTGAGCCTGAGTTCGCTGGACACGTAGAAGAACATTGTGTTTGCTCCTGACCCTCCTCAGCCTCCGATGCCACGCTGGGAATCGAGTACGGCTCGCAGCGGCTGCTGAAGGGAGGTATGGTGTGCAATTGCACAGTGAACTATGGGAATGCGGGGGGCGTGGCCTAAATCCGCAGGGCAGGCGAGCCCGCCCGCTGAGCCTCAGCCCAATGCCGATGATGATGCTGATGATGTTGATGATGATGATGATGATGATGATGATGATGATGATGATGATGATGATGATGATGATGATGATGATGATGATGATGATGATGATGATGATGATGCAACTGGTTGACTGAATGAATAATCCCACCAGCCCTCTGGGCGTCGGTGGTTTAACGAGTTTCCTCTTCCACCCCTCCCTCTTCCCCTTCGGGGAGGGGTTTACCCCTCCCCCTACCCCCTCCCCACTGACCTGGACAGGGGGTTCCGCGGCGCGTTGGAGCGCCCAAGATCTACCCCTGGGAGGGCTAAAATTCGACACCCCTCACGAGGATCGTGGCTCCTGAGGGGGGGGCTGTAATTAGGGACCCCCCCTTCGTTGATCGATCTCCTCCAAGATGGCTCCGAGGCCCCCACAGAGGCCCCCAGGAGGCCCCCAAGAAACCCCCAAGAGGCCCCAAGAGACCCCCCAGAGGCACCCAAGAAGCGCCCAGGAGGCCCCAAGAAGCGCCCAGGAGGCCCCCAAAGGCCCCAAGATGGCCCCAAGAGGCCCCAAGAGGCCCCCAGGAGGCCCCAAAGAGGATCCCGAACGGCCCACAGAGGCCCCCTCGAGGCACCAAGACGCCGAAAAGCCCCTCAGGACGACCCTCTACTCGCCTGGGCGTCGTTTCTGGACGGGCTGGTGGCGGAAGCGCCAGCGGCAGGCGGTCACGGTCGGGCTGCGGCCGCGACTAGGGGGCGGGCGCGCGTGGGGCCGCGGTCAGGCGGCAGGCAGCAGCGACCCAGGGCGTCTGAGCCAAGGCGTGCAAATCCAGGGAGTCTGCAGGGCAGCCCCTGAAAGAAACATGCAACGGCGCATCCAGGGAGTCTGACCACAGGCACCGAGGAAGCAGAGCGCCGCCAAAATGGCGCGTAAGGCGTTCCCAACAGTTCGAGTACGAACGGGTAGGAACGGTCCCGAGCGAGACGTCAATCCAGGGAGTCTGACGGGTAGGCACAGACTGACTGGTGACACAGTCCAGCGGGGAAACCCTGACGGCGGAGGCGGACCATCGCGACGTCAGAACACGCATCCAGAGCTGGTGGGGATACGCGAAGCGTCTAGAATTGATTGATGGATGGATGGGTCAATGATGATGATGGTGATGGTGACAATGATAACGATGGTGGTGATGGTGATGATGATGATGATGACGTAGATGATGAGGAGGATGAGTGGGAGGAAGGCGAAGGGATGATGATGATGATGATGATGATGATGATGATGATGATGATGACGAGGAGGAGCAATCAGTTGGAGGCAGAGCGTCGGCGCGGCTTACAAAGGCAAACTACGGAGGAGGAAGAAAGCTGATGCCCCCCCTGGCCTTGGCAGACTCCTCGTCGCCCAGGTTTGCCGCCCGCTGGAGGTAGCCCTTGGCCAACTCCTTGTTGACTTGTGGCGGTGTTTCGTCGCCGCAGCGTCTCGCAACCAAGCGCCGGCACCGGCGTCCCGCGAGACGGTGGGGCACGACTCGACTTCGCGCCCGTGCCCAAACGGACAGGGGGGTGGTGCGTTGCATGGGGTCCAAGGCGTCAGTGGCGCTGGCGGCGAGGACACGCGCAGAACTGGGCCCAGGGGTGCAAGGTGAGGATCGGGCATCCGTGCGGGACTCTTGGACGTGCGAAGGCCTCGGGAGAGTCTGCCGAGCCAGGGATGCAGGGGCGCACACGCGGAGCGCCGGGCTGCTGCCCACGGATGAAGGGCGGAGGGCTCCTGGGAGTCCGGGTCGGCCCGGCGCGCGCCCCCAAAGGGCGCAGGGCTCAGACAGAGAGGAAAGCGGCGGCGGCCGACACGGCGGCGACCACGGACTGCGGCGGCGTGGAGGGCGGATGAGCGAAGGCAGAGACGGCGACGACGAAGATATGCTGTGGCACCGGCATAGAAGTGCGTGAGGCGTCGCTCCCAGCGGGGCACCTCTCCCCTCATGCGAGGTTGCGGCATCGCGGCGCCCTGACCGACGCATCCGCGTGTGATGCTGCGCGTGGCTTGCATCCTTTAGTGCACTGGTCCCCAGAGGCCCCCAACAGCACGCTGACGTACGCTACCATCCGCGAATCGGGCGCACCATATCCCGCGCACTCGCATGAGGCAACACTCACTACTGGAATGTCGCGCCCACATTGGCCTGCGCGCGATGCTGGGTTTATTCAAATGTAAGCGCACAGCTTGACAACATCGTAGACCAACGGGATCCATTCAAGTCATTGGCGAAGCTTTTGTCTTCGTTGTCAGGGCGCCGTGCGAACTGCACGGCGCAATGTCAACCACATTGCTTGCTGCTCAGCTAGGTACTCGACGTGGGCAGGTCAGTTCGCCGAACTCCACAGGAACGCGACCAAACCTGGAGTTCTGTGCCGCCCCTTCTCCTGGGGACAATCTTGGACACGGGAAGAATCCAGGAAAACAAGACTGCTTCCATGCATGGGACGGCCCTGCACGCTGGGTCAAAGAAAGCGGCACGACCACTGCCATGGCCATCGCGTGGTGCCGAACGCCGTCAGAGAGCCCGCACGGAAAAACGGCCACAACGGTCTTCCCAAGTGTTTGTGAATGGTACGATTGGAAGAAAAACATTGCAACAACAACGCCTAAGCAATACAATTCTCCCCCCCAGACCTAAACATTGGAAACACATGCGCCCGATATGTTGGGCTCAAACTGTTTCTGGTCCCGCTTCTCTGTGGGAACACTTGTTCAGTCAGGAAAGCCGGCGGGCGGAGGGGGTCATGCGAAGCGGTTCCTGCACGTTGTTGCTCAGTTTTTTCCTTCCACGGCGGAACCTGGCAAGCCCGAGGCCTTGACCGCGCGTGACGCTCTTGCCGTCGGCCGTGCGGAGATCGACAGCGTGTTTCCCCCCCCCCCCCCTCCCCCTGCTGGCCGAGCGCGGCGCTGAGCCTCCTCTCTGCGCCGCTGGCATCCGTGGCCGCGGCGCGCCGGGCGAGGCCGGCCTGACTTGCGGCGCGCAGAGGGGGGCAGGGGGAGGGGGAAGGCTTCTTAGAGGGAGGCTGCTTCTTAGAAGGCGCGAGCGTTACATCTGCAGATGAGGCCCGCGCCTTCTCAGAAGTGGGGGCGCTTCTGAGAAGCCTTCCCCTCTCCCCCTTCCCCCCCCTTCTGCGCGTGGCCGATTGGTGCGCGGCTTGCCGATCGCTGCGTGCGATGCGACGGTTTCGGACTGCGCGCTTTGGGGTTGGCTCCTGCGCGCCACCCGGCAACCGCGCACCCAAAAGGTGACTCCTGCGAGGGGTCATGATTACGTGTAGCCAGACGATGCCCTCGTGGTGCCAGCCAGTCGACGCCCTGGTTTCCGCCGCAAAATCAGTCGTGCGCATGCTACCAGTATCTTGCTCCTGCCTGGCCTGTCCTGTCGCGAGGGCCCGACAATTTGGGCGACATCTGCTGGCCCTTTGCGACATCAGCATGCGCAACGTGACCACATATTCAACACCGAACCGTTAACGGTGGCGCCGCGTGACACAACGCAATCAATACGGGTGGATCGTTTCGACGGCAGTCTAAAGCCTATATAGTTTCCCTGATCGCAAACGGCTCGTTCCCTTAACATGTCCGCCGCAATCGGAAGCCTCGCATCCAATGGCCTTCATCTCCTCTCGCGACGCATCCTGGCTCCCCCTCGATGATTTCATGAATTGTGCGCAGCATTCTATATACACGTACTTAAGATGCATACGAAATGGATCAAAAACAAATATGCAAACATCGAACGAACTTTTCTCGAAGGGTAAAACGTAACCAACGCAAGGGAGCGACAACATTGAGCAGGGCGGCCCCGCTGATTTGTCGACTGGGGCCGAGGGGGCCTCTTGCCACTGGACAATGGAAGCAGTCGAGGAGCATTATGGCGGGAACCAGACAATTCCTCCCACATGTTTTTTCTGAACGGGCTGCTGGATTGTTCGTTCCGTCTTCGCTCAGGCGGGCCTGAAATCGTTACGTCGTTCATGTCTAATCGCGCGCTTATTCCGAACGGATGACTGATGATTGTTGTCTGGCTGATGGACTGACTGATCTATTGATTGGTGTCTAGATTGGTCGATGCATCACCTCATTAACCGAGCGGGGCGGCCGTTGAGGAAGGACCCAGGCGCGGCGGCACCCACTGCACGGGAGCTCCGCATCTGCTCACTGGGTTCCTGGCGTGGATCGATCTCTGGGGGTCGCGAAGATCTCAGCGGCCCCCGAAAGCAGGAACTCAGAACTGCCCCCCTTTCGTGGCGTCGTGTGTCAGCGAGTCGTGGCGCCGGCCGCAGGGGCCTTCGCAGCCTTCGCCCGTGTCGTGCATTAGGCCCAGGTTGTACATCGCCTCCACCGAGCCCTGTTCGGCGGCCTGGGTGAACCAGTAGATTGCCCACTCCTGCGGGTGCAGGCGACCTCTCTTTATCGTCCTCCACCCCTCTTCCATCTCATACTTCTCCAACCCCTCCTCATGCTTCATCTCCTGCTCCCCCGGCTAATGGTTCTTCCTCCTCCTCCTCCTCCTCCTCCCCCTCCTCCTCCTCCTGCTCCTGCTCCTCCTCCTCCTCCTCCTCCTCCTCCTCCTCCTCCCCCTCCTCCATGGTTCCCGCGAGTTTCACATGACCTTCGCCACAAGAAAACTAAGGCCCAATCAAATGCCCCGCCCCCCCCCACGTCGTCTGGACGTCAACGGCGGGAATACATTGGCAACGACGCAGTTGGCAATGCAGCCAAGCCGGCTGCTTCAGCCCACCCGTCGGCACTGGTTCATGAAACTCAAAACTTGAATCGAGAAGGTCATTTTGCCAAAGCTATCTGCCGCTCAGGAAAGGAAGTGAATTTGCTGGAATTCGCTGATATCCACTCTATGGCAGCGAATCCAGGCGCTAATAAACACCAGGCGGCGGCCCCCGGATGACGGCCTCCCGCCTGACAGTACCCTCGTCCCAAACACTAACCGCTCGAGACGGACCTTTGCGGCCTGGGGAAAGGCCCTGCTGGGTCCGCCTAAGGTGATCGTGACGTTGCTTGCTGCAGGGCACGCGCCACACGCCATACGAGAGTGCAGTGCAGCCCAAACTGGGGCCAGAAATGCAACACGTGCGAAGAATGACACATTCCACCCCACCCACTGTGACCGACCCCCCCAGCCCGCACCCCTCCATTATCACACTCCGTGGCCGAGAATTCCAACGCGTGCCCCGAGGGGACGACCGTGCGGCACGGGGAACGCAGCCGCTTGCGATCCTCACGGAACAAAAAACGCCTGCTCTTCCGAGGGGCTTCGTGGAGGCACACGGCCCCGCGACGGGCCGCGCAGTAACCCACGGGGCAACATGCAACATGGATGGAGTCTACCATGGCCTTGGCGGCGCGGCGCCTCACGAGCGCCGCCGTGCAGTCCCAGAGGTCAGTGTCGGGGGGCGCTGGCCAGCCAATCCATGCGTCCACGAGCAATGGGCGTCTTCACACGCAAGGGTGTCTGCACAACCGTTGCCCGTGACGAACGGCCGCTCCTGTGGGGAGAGGTCGGGATCCTCGGGTTCCACATGAGACGGGAACCACAACACCTGGACCTCCCCTTCCCCCCCCATCTGGGAGGGCCGCGCGCACGCGAAACCACGCGTCGACGTCAGCACGTTACGAACCTGAGGTCCCGAAACTTTCGCAATGCGATCTCAAACGCTAGATTTCAGCCCGCGGGACGGTCTGCCGTCGACCCCCAAAGGTCGTGGCGAAACTGGGGTCCCGACTCCAGCCCCCATGGGCCTGTTGCATCGCGATAACTGCCGCACCCACCCGTCTATGACGGGGGGCGCTGCTAAAACCTGCTAAACTGGCCACCAGAGCCGTCCCCAAACGCGAACAAAAAACCGTAGGCCCCACGAAGGGCCCCAGCGTCAGCAGCCAAATCCCCCACCTCCCACTCCACATCCACCCCGCCGTCTCGAAACTCCCGGCAGAGGGTCGGGTTCACCTTCTGGTTGGCCCTAGCCTAGGCTGGGCGACTAGGTGGTCCGACTGGGCAAAAAAGGGGCCATCCTTATTCCAAAGGCTTTCCCAAGTACGACGGAACAGGGACTCGCTGGCACTCCCGCCACGAGGACAAATAGGAGAGGCTGGGCATCCCTGAGCAATGTTGCCTCGTGGGGCCACTGACCGCCCGCTGCAACAGTGATGAACTGGTCAGCGCGATCGAACTCATCCCCCTGGAGGAAGTGTTGCAACTCTGAACGGAGCATGAACGTATCGACGCCATCGCGCAAATCATCGCGAGAGGAGCAAGAGCGGAGGAGGAGGAGGAGGAGGAGGAGGAGGAGGAGGAGGAGGAGGGGGAGGAGGAAGGCTAAGATCGGCTACGCGCCAGGGTGACCTCTGGGCAGGGGTGACCTTTGGCCCGCGGTATTCGGGGGCCGCGGGGAAGCCAAGAGCAAGCGCGCAAGCCAGTGCAGGAGGGACCCCCGTGGGCCCGCACCAGAGGTCACTCCGACGAAAGATCGCTCTTACGCGGGGCCGAGAGCAAGACGACCTCCGAAGTGTGAGGAGGGGCGACGCTGGCCAGCAGGGGAGGGGCGGGCACGGGAAGGCAGGACGATCCAGGAGCGTGCGCTCATTGCAGCGCCGTGCCACCGCAAAGACTACTTCACGAGCCACGGCGAGCCTCGACCACTACCCGGCTCCCCGACCCCGGTCTCAGGGACGGCGCAGCTATAGAGCCCCTCCCGTGCCCAGAGCGGCTCGTATTTCAGCGCCTTGGCTGCACAGCAAGACGGCGCAACAGAACAGAAAGAGCATCGCTGTCGCCCACGAGGGCTATCCGGATCGTGCACTCGAAGAGCAAAACAGAGAAGATGAGGAGGATGAGGAGGGGGAGGCGGAGCAGGAGGAGACGGAGGAGAAGAGAGGACGAGGACGAAGGGTGAAAGTGGAGGAACAGGAAGAAACCGCGGCGCCACACATGGCTCCGGCTTCTTCTCCACGCCGACGCCCCCGAGCAGCAGCGTGCCCATCTGGAACTGGGCGTCGGCGAGGCCCTTGCCTGGGCGGGAGAATGGGGGTGCTGGCAAGGCCAGGCCGCCGCCGCTTGCGGCCTCCCGGAACACACACACACACACTCACACACACATCGATGATGCTCAGAACGTGTGTTAGCGGCAGCGTGTGCTTTTCCCACCGAAGCTCCTCAATAAGACGCAAGCGATGTACTGAGGGCCGAGACAGTCAGGCAGGTATCGGTCGAACTCGACGAGGCAACACACAGACTGGGTCAACACACGTCCTGAGGATCATCGAACACACATGGGTGGGTTCACATGTGGGACGTCTGAGTGTCACGCGCTGGATGCACAATGCGGAGGGTCAGCGGGCCCAGCCACACCATGCCTCGGGTGGCCGAGCTCTGAAAATCGGCTACGTGCAGAGGAGTGATCCTAGGCACGAATGACCGTTGGTCCGCGGCTTTCGGGGGGCGCGGGAATGCCAAAACAGAGCGCGCAAGCCGCTTCTGTCGCAGCCCTTTCAGCCATCTGGGGGCACCCATGTGCCCGCATCACAGGTCACTCAGGAGACAGGCCACTCTTGCGCGTAGCCGAGGAAAGGCCTGTGGGCCCACGTGTGATTATCCAGCCTTTGTCCAGACTGGCCGCGTCGTATGCATCCAGCATCCTTGGGACGCACAAGGACATACTAATACCATGAGGGGCCAGAGCGGGGACTCGGAGATGCACCACGAGCGACGCGAACAAATGGGACGGAAAATTGCCGCCACAGACCTAAAGGGCGGACGTTTCCCGGAAGAGTAGGGGGGATACAGCGACGGCAAAGCAAGGCGGACAGCAGCATCAAAGGAGTTGGAAAAGCAGGACGGACATTTCCGCCTTACTTGCGAAATCGCCAGGAGTTCGGCAAATGCGGAGTCAGGGGGCCCTCTGGGCAGGCGTGGGGAACGCAAGCGCGGGGCGAGGGAGCGGTCGGCGTGCCCTAGGTGTTCGCGCGCAGGAGCCCAATTCATAATTCGCGATAGTTAACGCCCGTGGCCGATCCCGCCCCCTCCCCCCTCCACTCCCCGCCTGGTCACGTCGTGGTTCGCGCCGGTGCCGAATCGGACGTTACCAAATAAAATTGCCATAACAGAACACCCAAACAATATCAATAATGGAAAGGCATGTCGAAGAGTAGGAAATCGGCTAACGAAAACGTGCCGTGACATCGGTGAGAGCACTGCCATGTGCACCTTCCTGCATCTCTTGCCGGGGATCGTGGCCGCCCGGACCAACTGTGTAGCCACTATGGTAAAGACGAGGGCACGGTTCCTGAATGAATTGCGAAAAAGTCTCGGGCGAAACGGCGGCCAGACCAACTGTCCCAAACCTCCCCTCCCCGCCACCCTGTGGGACTCTTCTGTGGCCTCTTTTCGACACGATGAGAAGCGGAAGCTGAAACGGAAAATGGCCATCGCCCTAAAGAGGCCCATTGGCGGAAGACGGGCGCGCTGGGCGCGCGGGCCCTCTCAGAGGACCAGAAGCATGGAATTGCATCAAATGGCGCCGGTGAAACAATGCAGCGCGTGTTCGATGTTCAGTGGCACGAGACTCACTTACATATGATGAAATTAAAACAAATCTGGTCCAAGGGACGCCCAATGGTCAGCTAAGTCGAAGCCAGGACGTGCATAACATCGGGTGAAAGTGAATCGAGAATCGGTGAGATCGGGCGGCTCGGGAGCATGCATCGGGTGTCGCGACCTCCTCGGGACGTTCTGGGACGCTCTGAGAGCGTCCCGGAACGCTGCGGAACGGATTTATCCTCGTCCCAGCCCTAGCCCCGTCCGACCAGCTTCCCCAGGGAGATCCTGGTGGCCTCCAGAGGCAAGATGATGATGATGATGATGATGATGATGATGATGATGATGATGATGATGATGATGATGATGATGATGATGATATTGATATTGATATTGATGATGATGATGATGATGATGATGATGATGATGATGATGATGATGATGATGATGATGATCATGACGATGACGATGACGATGACGATGATGATGACGATGAGGAGGAGGAGGATTTATCCTCGCCCCAGCCCCGTCCAATCAACATCTGGTGAAACGCAGAAACGCAAGTCGGGACAACTGGGCCACAGGGGCGAAGCGGCCCCCCGGGGGAGGGCTGGCCTGAGACGCGCACGGGAAGGGAGCCCGCAAAGGACGTACGCGCCCAGCTATGTCAATGTACATGAACGCGGCTTCTCGATCCGCGAGACCGGTCGCGTGATACGAACATTCGCGCACTCCGTATTTCGGAAGCCACCACGGATTCATGTATGTGCGCGTCCTTTTTTCTGGGGGTGCTGGGGAAGCTGTGGGCTCGACCGTTCGCGGCTCCACCGTGCGGATCGGCGCCGTGCCTGCCGGCAATCGGCAAGCCTCCCGCCGCGCCTCCGGCCAGAAGCACGACCGCAGCTTTCACTCGTCGCTCCAGCGTCGCATGGGTAAAGGGAGGGGGGCAGGAAGGAGGAAGACGCTGCGATCTTTGCTATCATGGCCGGGGTAACAAAGAGAGGAGGAGGAAGAGGAGGAGGAATTATAATTGCGGGGTTTGGAGGCTTGATGAGAGAACGCGTTACGGCAATCAGAATATTACTGCCGTGGTGCGTTCTCTTCCTGGCGTCTCAGACGGAAAACGGGAGGACTATGGCGGAACGGCACGCGCGTCAAGACGCGCCCGGAGCAACGCGCAACACACGCGCGCAAAGTAAGGAGTTGCGCTGTCTCGACCCAAGCCAAAATTAGCGCATTGGCGCTATCATAAACCAAGGCGGTCACGTGAAAAACCAATTGCGTCAAATATGCGTTGGCTTTCGAAATCATCACGTCGGGCAACGTGTCCGCATCATTGACAACCGAAGTCTCCATCATTCTAAAATCTCACTATGAGGCCTGGACCTGCATCCCCTGCCCTCTAGACACGCTCGTAAGCAGGCGCCCATCCAGTCCCCAAACAAGACGTATACATATGTTTTCACCCACCAATCTGTGTCCAGTGCGCGCCAGCGCTTGAGCCAAACGGCGGCAGAGCATCCCATTTGAGTCGGGATTGCGCGGGCGATCGAGCAGGTCTTCCGGAGAAATAGGAACGGAGGAACACATGGAACCATAACTCCCCAACCCCAGGCACATTCTAGACTCAGCCGGGATGCCCCGTCGCTGTCTGGCCTGACCGCGCGCGGCGCGGCGAAGGGCGGGCTCGCGCCGTCGCCTCGGGCTCGCCGCGTCAATCGTCCTGAGGCTGGGAGCCGCTGCGGCTTCGCTTCGTCCTCGCTTTCTCGCTGGGCGTGCGCGGGGCGGCGCTGTGCGGCGAGGACTCGCGGTCGTCGCCGCTGGCTGCTGCGCGTGCCGTAGCGGCGGTCGCGCGCCGACGCTTGGCCTTCTCTCTCCCGCGGCGCACTTGCTCGTTGGCCTTATCGCCGACGGGCTTGCTCTGATCCTTGTTCTTGTTATTGCCCTTGCCCTCGCCCGTCGCGACTGCTGCCTGACCGCATGAGCCGATCGGGGCCATGCTGCCAGTGCGCTGCCAGAACCGAAGCGGCAGGGATGGCCGCGCCCGAGCCGTGGGTTGCGTCGCAGCTGCCCCGCTGCTGCTCGGGCGGATGCGACGGGGACCTCGGCGGGGAGCGCCGCGGAGGCGTGGCCGGCGGGCGCTCGACCCGCGGCGACGGGGGGCGCGGCGACCTCGGAGCAGGCTTACGAGGGCAGCTCTCGCTGGTGGGCAGCACAAGGGCTGCCTTGTCTGCGGGAAGGCACGGGCCCTGCCGCCGCCCGGCCACGTGCCGAGGCCTCCAACTGCCAATGCCTGCGGCACTCGAACAGTTCCTGAGGCGACCAAACTGACCACGTCTGGAACAAGTTAATAATGCACGGCGCCTTCCGCGCCGAGATGGCCTCGTTTTCGCAGGTCGGCCGCGCGTCGTTCGCCCGCCCGCGTGCGCTGCGAGCCTTCCGAGTGAAGACACCGCGCGTCATCGGCTCCATGACCGCGCCACTGAACAAGCACTTCCGCGCCGCCTCGTCTGGGGCGGAGGTGCTGATGTGCCGGTCCCCGAGGAAGGCGGGCGCGTCTATGTCCGCCTCGCTGTGCGGCGGCCGATGCGTCGGCCCCTCGCCGAGCGCCGTCGGCGGCGCTTCGGGCGGGGGAGGTGCGCGCGGAGACGCAGCTGGCGCAGCCTGGCTGGTCGGCTGCGCGCGTGCGCGGGGCCGGACATCGCGGCCGCCGAGCGGCGCCGACGGGGCGACGGAGGGCGGCCGCGAGACCGAGCGGTGGCGGCTCGAGCCCGTAGATATCCCCGCGGCGTCAGCTGTCCTGCGGCAGTCCACTTGGCGCGCCCCTCTTGGGGGAGTCTCTCCCTCCAAGTGCCGACGAGCCTCTGGTGATGGCGCTGGCGTTGCTGGCGATATTCCTGGCGGGCTTGCCATGATTGGCGTCGATGCCTTCGGACAGCCAGGCGGGGGAGCTGCTGGCCGAGCGCGCTCGCGAGGGTGCTGAACGGCCCCTGGGTGCCACGGGCGCTTCCTCTGAGGATGGGGCTTTCGCTGGGGGGCGCAGCCCTGCGTGGTTCGTCGAACCGGCGGCGCTTTGCGGACCGCCTGGCGTGGTCAGGGCGCGCTCTGACGCCTGGCGGGGTCGCGCGCCCCCCTGGGATCTTGATGCGGCTTGGGCCCGGGCTGCTGCGATTCTCGCGGCGGCCCGGACATTCCGGGCATCGTTTTGCATTTGGTGCGTTGGCTGTCTGCCTGGCAGCTGGTGTGGCGGCGGATGCCTGCGCGCCCGTGGCTCGTTTCGGGTCTCAGACGCCATCGGTCAGGCTCGCGACTTTCCTGCCGGTGGTGGTCTGGCCGCCGGCGCTGGTGCTGGTGGCGTTGCGGCTTCTTTCTAGGCGTTCAATTTCCTCGAGATCCCCTGGGCTGACGCTGTCCCCTGTGGCCAGGTAGACCTCGGTCATCAGGGTGACTGAGCTTTCCGCCGCGGCCTCGAATGTGACGACGCCTTGCAGCGCGCGCTCAGCTGAGCGCCGGCCAGGGCCAGACCTGTTGCGTCTTGGCGCGTTGGCCGCGCCCCCAGCTGACGTCGCGAACGTGGTTTCCGCCGCGCCTCGGACTCCTGAAGGGTGCGAGCAAATGTGGTGACTCGGCAATGGCCAGTGACGGCTTCTTGGCTGCGGGGCCTCTCGGGCCGTCGGCTCCCAGACAGCACTGGTCGATAGCAGCCTTTCCACGCGAGGATTCGTGGGTACCTGTTCCCGCGGCGATTCTGCGCCGAGCCACGCGGGGCTCGGTTGTTCGACTAAGAAGTATCACCCCTCGCGTATCTGCGCCATCAGAACCTGTCTGGTGGTCCAGCAGGTCTGGTGATTGATGCGGTAGTTGAAACAACTGGGCGACCGGTGCTGTGACGCGACGGTGACATGACCACCGCCAGTGCGTTGTTGGACCTGAGTTAGTGTAGGAAGTGCTATTGGACGGTGGGGTCACCTAGATCACAGCCAGTAGCCAAATCGAACTTGTCGCGAATCTCGAGTTGTCGTCGGATGGCGAGATGTGAAGAGCGGGTTTCGCCGCCGCACAACTCATATAGGTCCGTGCTGGGCCCAGAGGTTCTCGGACCGTGGCCAGGCATGTTCTAAGGTTGTGGCTGGTTGGCGACGCTGAAAACATTGCGCGATCGCCAACGGCGGCCCCTGCTGTGCACGATTCCGCGAGGTGTTCACCAGCTGGGAGCTCCTTGGCGCGTTCGATAATGGTGTCCTGGAAGAGCTGGGGGAGCTGCTCCTCCGTACCAAATCAAGAAAAGTCGTCACCGACGTCGTCGAAGACGTCTTCCACTTTCATATGACGTTTGACCGGCATATAACCCTGTGTCTGTCGTGCCTTCACCAATTTTGAAAGGGGACAAGGTAAATCCTTTGTGTCGATGGTAAAAGGATCCCCAACCATTCCCCATATGAAGGGCCTTGTGTAGCTGAGCAGCGCGAGGACCAACAAGCACGTCGCCGCCAAACAACGGTGTGGAAGACATTAGTCTTCCGTGTTGCGATGGCAGGGAAATCGACATGTGCTACATTGAACCATTCCACGATGTGTGCTTTGAGCGAGGTGTCGTTGAACTCGGATCTAACGCAATACTGGAAGGTACCATCACGTGATTATTTGTTCCGTGTGCCGAGGGAATCGATGCCGACCGCTGGGTGGATGGCTTCAGCTGCAGCGAGGGTGCGCTTGATAGCGGCGGGTCGGATAAGTCCTTGCTGAAAGACTCAGCAGCCTCAGTACGTCGTTTGACATCTGTACTTTCACATCTGCACTGCTCTTGGCGGCGAACCAGTTATGTTGTGGCGAAGGATTTACATTGAGTATCTGTTGTAACTAGCTGGCCAGTTCGAAGGCTGCTGCTGCGGCGTCAACTTGTCCGTGAAGGAGGTTTTGTATATTTTCCGATGATGGAATGGGACGGCGACTCCTGCGAGCTTGGCTGCGCCAGTTGCCCAAGGGTCGACGCCGTGTGGGTGTGTTTCCAATAATTAATTGAATCATTTCCTCCAGGTGATACTACTTGTTCTCGTACTAGAAGAGCCGCCTGCCCCGCGCCTTGCAATGACCCTCCCATGAAAACTCTGCATAATTCGATGCTGAGAGGGCCGCGCAACCCGCGAGTGTGAGCGTGTGAATATGGATGGCGTGGAAGAGACAATTCCTGACCGAACTGCGGACCAGCGGCATCCTTTGGGAACCAGCGGGCGCTCTGCCCGCAAACATTGGGCCTTGAGCTAAACTGGCTACGGCAGGATGGAAGTAGAGGAGGTGGAGGAGGAGGAGGAGGGATCACGAAGAATGAGCGAAGGAATGATCGTGATCTTTACAGGGCCCTGCCGCCGGCAGAGGCAGAGATCCACGAAGCGCCCTTCTGGTCGTCCCGCGCCGTGCCGCTCCCGCTCAGCAGGGCCATGCCGAGCTCGTACATCGCCCGGGGCTCCTGCGGACGCGCGCTCCTGCCTGTCGACACCGCGACCGGAAGCGCATGGTCTGGAAGGCCAACCGAGACAACGGCGGCCCTCCCTGGCGTTCGTCGTTCTGCTTGCGCCTTCTGGAGGCTTCTCGTCGCCGCGGCTCGATCCGCATCGCAGCACGGGTCAGGAGGGCTCCGGGGCGATGTGCCAAGGGACTGATTTCGAGCGGATTTGGGCCAGGCGAGAGAGCCGCCGCCGTCTCACCTGGCCCTCCACCGAATGGTCGAGTCGGCACCGTGCTGAGCACATGCACCACCCACCCGGCCCGCCCTCCCAGATAGCGTGTTTTCAGCTGGCGGGTCCTTCTATTGAAATAATTCGCGAACTCCAGGCGTGTGGGACTTGTCCCCCCGTGGCTCCCCCGACGGGGTCCAGAATTGTGCGTTTGAGCGGCAATGGGATTCGGGGACCGTTTGCATGGGCGCCCGCCCCGTGCGAATGGCCGCTGGACCGGGCCAACCTCCAGTGAGTTCGGCCCCCCCGGGCCAACCCCTTGGGGCGACCCCTGGTCGAACTCCTCGTGGGCTCGCGCCAGTGTGCATGGGCGCTCCATGCGAACGACCCCCAGACGGTCCCCCGGACGGGTTCCTCGGGGGTTCGCGCCCATCTCATGCATGGGCGCCCGCTGCTGAGATGGCCACTGAAATAGACCCCCCCCTCCGGCCGAGAGTGCGGTGCCATCGTCCACTTGCACGGGCGTCCCATGCAAATGGAATCCGAACGGCTCCAGCCCCCGCTGGCAAGAGGTGCCAGTGGCCATCGCGCCCCATGCAAATGGCCACTGGGACGGGCCAGTCCCCCAGGGAGACCCAAGGCCGAACTCCTCGGGGAATCGCGCCCACTTGCATGGGCGTCCCATGCAAACGGCCCCCAGACGAGTCCCGTACGGGTTTCTCTGGGGTTCGCACGCATTTGCACGGACGCCCACTGCAAACTGCCACTGGAACAGAACCCTTCTTCGGCCGAGGGTGCCAACGTTAATTTGCATGGGCGCCCTATGCAGATTGCATCTGGAACGCGCCATCCCCCCCTGGTCAGAGGTGCCAGTGCCCATGTGCATGAGCGCCCTATGCAAATGTTCACCGAACGAAAAAGATGTCGGGCGGACGCCGCGCCAGAAACCGCTCGTTTTTGGAGTCCCCAGCGAGAATTGCACTTTTGACCATGCCCTGGGATCTACATGCGCTACTAGATAGAAAGTGGGGAACCCACCGCCCCGCTCGGGGTCCTGCGACCTCCCCCCACGTCAGGCCCACACGTCCCCGTGTTGTTCCGATTGCCCATCCTCCTCCTCCTCCTCGTCCTCGTCCTCCTCCTCCTCCTCCTCCTCATCCTCATCCTTACTCTCGTCATCATCATCCTCCTCCTCCTCCTCCTCCTCCTCCTCCTTATCATCATCATCATCATCATCATCATCATCATCATCATCATCATCATCATCATCATCAGCATCATCATCATCATCATCCTCATCCTCATCCTCATCCTCATCCTCATCCTCATCCTCATTCTCATTCTCATTATCATTCTCATCATCGCCATCACCATCACCATCACCATAACCATCATCATAAGCAGCAGCAGCAGCATCATCATCATCATCATCACCGCCATCGCCGCTTGATCCATCTGAAACGAGAGCGGGATGTTTGCTATACCCGAGGATCCCTGTCTCCTAATGGCTTCGCAAGCGCCAGTCGGACATTCGAGAACGGCACTTCTCGACAGCCTGGACTCTTTCCAATCCGCAGATCCCTTTTCATTCTCGATGCGCGTGAGACTCTCCCCCCTAAGGTCCCCCCCCGAACGGGGTCAATAATTGCGCGTTTCAGGACAAATAATGTCCAGGGATTGTTTGCATGGGCGCGCCATGTAGATAGAGGCAGGAACGGGGCAACCCAGGGTGAATCTGGCCCCCACTCTTCGGCGCCCATGTGCCTAGACGCCTAAAGATTTCGAGGTGGGCGCTCGCCAGCGTCGCTCCGCGCCGTCAAAATCGCGCAGGACTCCGATCAGGCTGCCTGCGCAACAGACACCGAACATGGACTATCCTCCGATGGCTTCCAAGACGGCCGCGATGCCCCCGAACTGGCGCACGAGGCCCCCAAGACGTCCCAGCAGGCCTCCAAGAGAACCTCCAGGCGGGCCGCAAGATACCAATCCTTTCTTTTGGGAAGATGTCAACGTTCACACCTTTTGGAGCTTCCGAAAGCCCCAGACAACGCAGGAGGCCTCCAAGAAGACACGGCCAAAGACGCCCCCAAAAGCCACAGTACAGGCCAAGAGCCTCGTAAGGTACCCACAACAACACTCAAGACGGCCCTAGACGGCGCGAGTACGGCCCCAAGACGCCTCCGATACGGTACTACAGCTCCTCCAGGCGGCCCCAAGACGGCCCAGCAAAACCCAGCGACGGTCTACAGAAAGACCAGACGGGCCGAGCGCCCTGGAACGGCCCAAGAGAGCCCTAAGAGGCTGAGGAGCCCAGAGGGACCCGCAAAAACGCTTCAATACCCCCCCGGGAGACTCCGCCAGGCGGCCGCCCCGACGCGGGGGCGGAATCGCGCGGTTGCGCAGCTGGAAAATCTTCGCAGAGGAATGGTACCACAGTGCTCACCAACGCATGCGGGGAGCACTCTCGATCTGCCGCCTGAGACACCAAAACGACCGAAGATACCTCCCAGTAGAACGAGGGTTCAGCGGATGTGGCAAACCTTAAGAATCATACGGCTGCAAGAAACAAGTTTGCACCACCTGGGCGGCACGACAACTGATGATACGACCCTCCCGCCCCCGACTTTAACATTGAGAGCGGACGCGCACACTGAAATTGAATGTATATGTATTTTGTTCGAAGGGCTCTGGGATATGTCACAACTACAAATACTATAATCGGGGGCGCGGAGGAGCAGCAGTGCCATCTGATTCGCAGCTCAAGCCGAATTGGTGCAAACATTTTCTTTCAACCATATCTGCGGATGTCTGGGATGACGCCTGCTGCGGTGGGGAATAGCAAGCAGATGGGCATGCTGGAGCAGAGTCCATCCGAACCACCGAGTCTTTGCCGAACGGCATCTGAAGCCTAAGACGGCCTCGTGGAAATTCCTTAGAAAGATGGTAAAGCATGTTCTCCCCAAGCCGACTTCTGGGCTGCACGCGCGGTACACTGATGCGTTCAACGAGTTTATGACCTTGCCTGAAAAGCTTGGGTACTCATTTTAAATCGCATCGTGATGGGGACCGACTGCTGCAGTTCTTAATCTTCAACGAGGAATTCCTAGTAAGCGCGAGTCATCAGCTCATGCTGATTACGTCCCTGCCTTTTGTCACCGCCTAACGTCCCCACGCTAATCCCCTTGCGGGTGGGGGCGGGTGCGCGCGCCGACATGGGGCAGCTGGGTGGACGGGTCCTCTTGCTGGGCCGCCAGGTTGAGGTAGTGAACCTCGGAGGGGGGGAGAGGGCACGGGGGGGAAGCGCAGGCGCGACGGACAAGCGCGCCGCAAGGTACCACTGTGACAACGGAACAAGCGCGTAAGTGAAAAACATGCGGTAGCGTTTGCCTTCATATCGCCACCATCAACGAACGTGTGTTAGCTGAAGGCCCCTTGCTGACATCGGCACCGAATGACACTGAAGGTGCCCACCCTAGCCTCATAGCCCAAAAAAAAAAAAAAAAAAAAGCCTCATAGCCCAAACAGCAATCCTCAATCCTCAGCCCAAGCACCATCCGAAACGGACGAACATTTGACCAGAGAAAGCCCCTAATCAGTGGATGGTGTTAACTTGGCAGGCGCCGAAGTCTCGAAGAGGCCTTAAGTACTGATTCCTGGTAAGTTTTAGAAGGGCTGTGATATAGGAATCGATCGTGAGTTCGATCGTAATATAAATCTTGAGATCCATTGTGAGCTCGATAGTGAAGACGATAGTAAGGTCGATCGTGAGACCGATAGTGGAATCGACTCAGTGCGATCGATAGTGAGATCGATCGTGAAATCGTGAGATCACTCGTGCGATCATCGTTAGATCGATTGTGAGATCGATAGTGGCATCGATGGTGAGATCAATAGTGAGATCGATCGTGAGATCGATAGAGAAGCGGGAAATGACATCGATCGTGAGAACGATCTATGAAGAGATCGACCAAGAACACGGGACACTGCAAACTCAGGAACCCCGCCGCCCACCGAAATCGGCTCGGAACCAGCAGCCGGGAACCGGGGAACCTGGAACTGGGAACCCGGGAACCTTGCCGCCTACCGAAATCGGCCGGGCACTTTCGCCAAATCTTTCAACCTCCGCTGGGACCCCTTCAGTGCAAGCACGGATTGGTGAAAAACCGGAGAACATTCGAGGTCCCCCTTCGAAAGCTGGCACAAGAACCTTCAGGACGCGTGGAGAGCATCAGGTCATCCCTCTCACACCCGGGCTGCTCTTGACTCCCGTGCCGACTGCGGGCGCCAGCTGGGATTCGGAAGCCTCGAGGCCATGCTGTTCCGGCGGAGAGATCCAGGGGGGCGCATGCACCGCTACTGGGCCCAGGACGGGCCTGTCCAGCGGCGGTGAACGTGCAGAGATAAGAGGAACAAGCAACGGCAGAAACATAACACCAGAGAAAAATCCCCATCAGTGGATAGTTTGAAAGCTAGTGATATGGATATTGAGATCGATAGTGGGATCGATCGTGGGGACGATCGTGAGACCGATAGTGAAGCCGATTGAGTGAGATCGATGGTGAGATCGCTCGTGCGATGTATAGTGAGATCGATTGAAAAATCGACTGTGGGATCGATCAAGAAGTGGGTCATGAGATCGACGGTGAGACCGATCGATAAGGAGATCGACCAGGAACCTGGGAGCCCGAAAACCTGGGAACCCCGCCGCCCACCGAAATCGGCCAGGAACCTGGAACCAAGAACCCAAGAACCCAGAACCGGGAACCCGGCGGTCCACCGAAATCGGCAGCCGAC